GACAGCGGCAATGACGCGGACTATGAGTCTGAAACCGAGGTCGAGTCCAAGGTCGACGATGCCTACAAGGACGACCATCATATTGACTACGATGAGTTGAATGATATCCATCCTCATCCGGTTTACAATGAAGAGGTCGCTCCTGCCCTGGTCCCGAAGCCATTCGGCGAGTCCTTGTTTGTGAAGCGCAAGGATGATAAAGATTTTGGACTGAACACCGACTCTGATTCCGACTCGGATGACGAACACCACACCGTGCCTTTCAAGAAGGGAAATACCGTCATCGGTGGTCCTGGAGGATCTGATACCGGCAATGATGCCGCCTTTGACTTCGAGAGTTCCTTTGATTCGAAAGTTGATGACACCTTTCACGATGATCATCACATTGACTACAATGAAGCAAACCATATCCATCCCCACCCGGTTCACAACGACTTCGAGTCTCACCACGTCCCTGAACCGTTCTCCGGGCACTTCTTTGTGAAGCGCCAGGGTAACTCTGCCATCGGTGGCCCCGGCGGATCAGACAGTGGGAGCGATGTCGATTACTCGAGTGAACATGAGCTCGAATCTGAGGTACATGACGCCCACAAGGACGACCACCACGTTGACGCTTCTGTTGTGAACGACATCGGAGGTGGGGGAGTGTACAACCACCAGACTTTCCCGCACCACGTGTCGGGGCCTGTGCCTGTTCCCTACAATATTCCTGGCCCGGAGTCATTTGATGGACCCCAGCGTCCGGCTGTCGCCCACGACCCTCAGGTTCCGGCGGCTGTGCCCGGCCCTGAAATGCAGGCAAGTGCACACGCCCCCAGGAGCGAAGCTAGTGTCCATGGGCCTGCGAGCGGGAATGTCCCACCATGCAGCACTGTCGTCCACGAGGTTGTGCACACTGTCACACAGACCCTTCCCTCGCGACCGACAATGGCTCCCATGGGCATGTTTTCGGCTGTTCCTATGGCTCCTTTCGGTCACCACGCACCCGCTAGCAGTGGCGGTGCAGACTTTGGCGCGATGAAAGATTTCTTCGGATCGCAGTACGCCCCTTCGCCTAGCTCGTCCGCCGCGGCGCACATGTACGCTGTGCCAACGGGTGCGATGCCCTATGCTCCCACGCATGCTGTGCAGCATCCCGCATCCACTGTGACTATTCACAAGACCGGGTCCTCGGTGGTACACATGCACGCCTTGCCCACCGGTGCTGCCTCTGGTGTCGCCACGAACGCTGCTGCGCAATATCCTGCATCGGCGGCGACTCTCCATCGCACCCCGTCTTCGGTCGCTCACATGATGAACGCTGTCCCGATTGCCGCCACGCATCCTGCGCAGCAGCCTTCGTCCACCCTCACCCTCCAAAAGACATCGTCCTCGGCACATATGCACGCCATGCCAACGGGAGCCATGCCGGTTGGTGCTACCCATCCTGCCCAGCAGCCTGCGTCCACTCTCACGGTTCAGGCCGCTTCGACCTTCGTCGCGATTCCTGTGTATGTCCCTGGTGCGTCCAGTGCCGCCAGTCCAAGCGGCGCGGCGCCTGTTCAAACGTCCCACAGCAGCGCGGCCAAGGCGTCCCAGTCTGCTCCGGCCTCGTCGACCCCTGCGAAGCACCACGGCATGATGTTCACCGGCGGTGCGGCCTCATTTTCGCCCAACACTGCCCTGGTTTCTGTCTTTTGCGGAGCCGTGGCATTGCTGGCCTATGCTCTGTAATGGATTCATCAACCGTTGAATTGGGGGGATGAGGGTATTCGCCTATGATATGTTCGGTGTCGCTCTGGCTTGATTGTACAACGTAGTAATGTTCATGTCGTTCGTTAGGACAGAATTGTGCTTTATGATTGATCTGTTGTCTTGTTGTTTCATCTTCGAAACTAGTCTTGTATGCTCTTCGTCCATTTAATATTATCATCTTATATGTCCCTATTCCTTCTCGCGTTCCTACCTCTATGTAGTCAAGTTTGCAGTCGGCATCCTCCACTTTGTCCCTGGAGGCAGCGTTCAGGCATCACTCCGTAGATATCCCATGAACTGGTCCGACCGATCTGGCGTCTGGAAAAACCCCGTGAACAACACGGTACGTACACGGTGCACTGTGCTCTCCCTACTTGTTTCGCCTTGCTATGGTTGTGAGTGGGTAGCTACGTCATAACTCCATGCCTATCAAGTTTTGATACGCCCACTGCGCACCACTGATCTCATAACCCGTACATCTTTTAGTGGTTGGTAGCTCTCTCAAATTGCCAGATAAGGAGTCTTGTTGAGCGTCCGCCCCGTGGTTCGTTGGTTAGCGACCAGTCTCAATACTTTGTCTCCACGGTGCGATATTGGCTGATATCATGATGATGCGGCAGTATCATCTGGAACGAGGTGACATCAGCAGCCTCCGTCTATATCAGTAGTACACTTAGCTGTGCCAATGTTTCTTGAATTGCTTTATACATTCCTGAACTAATTTCCTGCATTGTCTGCTTTCCCAACTTGTCCTCAATTCTATCAAAGAACACCAACTCCAATCGAAACCACGAACTCCCACGGAATCATACCACACCTTAGCCCAAAATGTCTTCCCAGAGAAACCAGACCGACTCCCACCAGGGCGGCTCGCTCTCTGACATGGCGCCTACCGGCACCACCATCCCCGGCGACGCCGGCATCCAGAACAAGATCCCGTCCGTGCCGCGCCCCGACCAGCGCGCAGAGAACCCACAATTCACCAACGAGGGCCTGGGTGAGCCCTCGGGTGCCTTTGCGGCCGACAACGACACCAGCATGCCTCGCGACCCGAGCGATACGTCCGGCCCCACCGGGGAAGTGGTCACCGGGCAGGGGAATACGCTCCCTACGGGTGCGGAGACGAAACGGAACGTGGGCAACTTTGGGGGTGACGTTCGGGAGTTTAAGCATGCGACTTCGTCGTGATAGTTGATTAAAATGTCCTATTGTTGATTTGTCGTTTTTCATAATTTGATTCTTTTTGTCAAGAATATGTTGAGTAGATGTAATTAAGTTGATCGTCATGCTTTGATCGGCTGGGAAGATCTTATCGCGGAGAAAGGTAGCCCCGCGCCACTGAAAATCATCCATCTCCGTTGATTATAGTTCTGCAATTTTCTACCATCGTCGACTACTTCTGTCAATCGTATAATACATGGATGTCATGAAAAGCTTGAGTTGATTTCAGTATGCCGGTTGGAAAGTCCCTCGCCCTGAGCCAGAATTCCTTCGTGGAGCCACCCACTCGTGAATTCGAGCTGGAGGAGTCCGCCTCTCCGACACACGCCCGGCTCAAGCGCCAGGCCAATCTTTACGATGCCGTCGCCGGTTGGTCTTCCCTATATCATTTCGACGAGTCGGATATACTAAGAAACCAACAGGTCGAGTGAATGCCCACGGGTTTATTCCATCCTTTCCCCACGCCTCCAAATACCGCGACACCGCCTCCTCCAACCGCTGTCCCGTACGTCCAGAAGAAGTCCTCTTCCGCCGTCAAAACGCGCCCGACCGTTACGAGGAAACCGATTTTTACTTCGCGCACGAGTCTCTCTCATCAGATCGGCCGCTACCGTCCTCCGACCTCCTCGAGGCCCTGCATGCCTACGCTGCTGACTTCTACGATTCCGCCGTCCCCGATCGCGGGCGCCTTGACATCCAGAGCTTGGACGAGACAGCGCTCCTTGCGACGGGTATATTGCTCGAGGAGATGGCTAAGGAATCGCTGGGCGAGACGGGAGATATGGTGCTTGTCGAGGGGGAGGAGGTTCTCTCCGATGATGACCTACCACCGGCGAGACTGAGAACTCTGCGCCGCAAGAGGTCCCGGTCGCGGGTGGGGAGTATCTTGCCCAGTTCGGGGGATGATCTCGATAGTGTGGTCAGAAGAAGGAGGTCGAAGAAGAGGCGGCTGGTGAGGGAGGCATCGACGACCGATTTTGAGCCCGAAGGAGCGAGAATCTGATCGGCAAGAACCCCGTCGGCTATTATCCGTTTTCTTTTTTACGAGGGGGCTTGTGATCGGATGACATGGACGGGTGGCCAGGTCGTTGATCAGTGGCTGCAGTTATAGGCCTGGGCCATGCCGTCTGAGACGTTGACTTGGAACCGGTCCCGATATTCCTGGCCCTTGCTCCCGAATACACCCACGGACTGGCAATTCGCTGAGGCTGGGCTCAGAAATAGCTTAACTATTTACGAGCGAGCGAACTCACGACGACGACGGTCTGATAACCGGCACTACCCCCATTCAGGCTATCCAGGGACGCTCAGTCAACGAGATACCACGCCAGGGCCCTTGCCGAGCCTCGCAGATGGTCAGATGAATCAACCGCATCCCACGACTAGCCCTCGTCTTAGCCTGTCAGGCTCTCGTTCCTCCAGTACTTCCACCAATATTCGCTGGGTAACCTCCCCGTTGGCTATGGCCCACCACACGCTTGCGTCTGGAGGCGCAGGCTAATGGACTTGGCCGTTGCAGTTTCAGGCTTAGAGGCGGCACCCCAGATTGCGACCCCCGCGTCAGGAACTAGCCGTTTTCTCCCATCATCTCCTGCGGTGATTTGCATTCTCACCTATCATCTCGCCTTCTGCAATTAGCCTGAATAGAACATTCAGTTGTTGACTGCTTGTCTCACGCGATCTGGCCCGGCTCGTGCCTCAGCAAATCATGTCGTGAGCTGGGGTAAATGGTTAGTTAGGCTTGATCGCCCGGCTCCTCGGCTGGTTTCACTCGAGGCTAGATTGGCTAGACCCGTTGACCCTTGTTGTTTCTGGTGCAGATGCCATCCTGAAGGATGCCTTGAATATAGCAATGTTGTCTTGTTCTGGTTTTCCTTTTCAAATCAGTTCTTTTTGTCTTTTTATCTTTATTTTCCATATTAAATTATGTTTTATTTTTCCGGGAAAGGAGGACGCCTCCGGACCCTGACTGCCGCCTGTTTAGCCGTACGCATCGAGTCGCATCGTGCATTTCGCCGCACCGGGCTACTTGATTGATGCATGGTCTGGGAAAAATAGCCTATGGAAATTAGTCTCCGGCAGATCTCAGGGTTCATAAGATGGTCCTGTCCGCGTGCAAGGAGACTTTGAATGTCTGCTCTGTGGGTGATCGTGCTTGTTTATGAGAGCGAAAAGACATCGGCGATCGACTGATTTTCACCTGGGTTCTTGATTCCGACCTCTTCGCCATGGGGTCCGACACATTCGAGCTGGCCGGACGCCAGTTCCCCAATGTTACTTGGTACAAAAATCCGGGGATGAGAAAGACCTACATCTGCTTGATGTTCGTGGTCTTGACTTCGGTACGAAATCGTGTCGCGACAAGTCATTGCGCCTGCTAACCTTGGACAGGCTACCAATGGCTACGACGGATCGATGATGAACGGATTGCAGATCCTGACACCCTGGCAGGAATACTTTGGTCACCCCACGGGCTCGAGTTTGGGCATCCTCAGTGCTATCATGTCCCTCGGGTCGTTGGCGGCGCTCCCGGCGGTGCCGTATACGGCGGATATCTTGGGTCGTCGCATGGGCATCTTGATCGGGTGTCTGATCATGTACGTGGCCGGTTCCCTTTTTGCTTGGTTCTGATGGGATGTGCTCATTTCTGCGGACAGGATCCTCGGCGTGGTTCTGCAGAGTATCGGCGCGACCTACGGCATGTTCCTGGCCGCACGGTTCCTGATCGGCTTTGGTGTGGCCATTGCCCACGGGGCCTCCCCACTGCTGATCACCGAGCTGGTCCACACCCAGCATCGTGCAATCTTCACGACGATCTACAATAGTACGTCTTCCTCCTCACTTCGCTTGATGTCCCTGTTGCGCAATCAGTCCCACTAACGACCTTTTTGTCCAGCCACTTGGTATTTCGGTGCCATTGTCGCTGCGTGGCTCACGTTCGGCACCAACAACATCAAGAATGACTGGGCGTGGCGCGCCCCGTCCATGGTGCAGGCGCTCCCGTCCATCATCCAGATCATCTTCGTTTGGTTCGTGCCCGAGTCGCCTCGGTTCCTCATCTACAAGGGCAAGCACGAGCAGGCGCTGAAAGTGATGGCGGACGCCCATGCCAACGGCGACCAGGAGGACGAGGTGGTGCAGCTGCAGATGCACGAGATCAAGGAGACGATCCGGCTGGAGAAGGAGTTCGAGAGCAACGGCTGGATGGAGCTGATCCGCACCAAGGGCAACCGGCACCGCATCCTCATCTGCATCACGGCGGGGTTCTTCTCGCAGTGGTCGGGCAACGGGCTAGTGTCGTACTACATCAAGATGATCCTCGAGACGGTGGGCTACACCGACACCGTGCAGCAGAACCTCATCAACGGCTGCCTGAACATCCTCAACCTGATCGTCGCCCTGACCATGTGTTTCTTCGTCGACAAGATCGGCCGCCGCCGGCTCTTCCTGGTCTCGACGGCGGGCATGCTTATCGCGTTCATCGTGTGGACGATCTGCTCCGCGCGCTACGATATCCACAATACTTCCTCCACCGCCAACGCCGTCGTCGCCATGATCTACATGTACTACGTGTTTTACAATCTCGCGTGGTCGGGTCTCCTGGTCAGCTACACGGTGGAGATCCTGCCTTATAGCATCCGTGCTAAGGGCATGACGGTGATGTGGTTCTGCATTGACGCCGCCCGTACGTCTCCCCCCCCCCCCCCCCCCCCAATTTCTTCTGTCCATAATTAATTATACTAACGTGGAAAATAGTCTTCTTTAACCAGTACGTCAACCCCATCGCCCTAGACGCCATCCATTGGAAATACTACATCTTCTACTGCGTGTGGCTGGGCATCGAGCTGGTGGTGGTGTGGTTCTTCTACGTGGAGACGCGTAACACTCCGCTGGAGGAGATCGCCAAGTACTTTGATGGTGAAAATGCTATGGTCGGCGGGGCGGCGGCGACCCAGAAGGCGCGCGATCTGGCGTCGACGCTGGAGGAGGAGCCTGTGAATGAGAAGAAAGTTTGATTCTGTCTGTCTTGTTCGGTTCTTGAGTTTGGTCTTTCGGTTCTCTACTTTACTCTATTCTATCCTATCTTATTTATTCTATTCTATTTCAGTTCTCTCTATTCTATCTATTCTGTTCTGTCCTCTCTATTCTATCTACTCTATTCTGTTCTCTCTATTCTATCTACTCTATTCTGTTCTCTCTATTCTATCTACTCTATTCTGTTCTCTCTATTTCATCTATTCTGTCTTTTCCATGATAGTAGCAGTAGCGTTTGCCGCCTGAATCATGTGCCCACTGCCTGAGGCCTTAACCAGGTAACACGTTATCCACTCCATCAACCTCAACTGGATCAACCTCAACCTTCCCTCTCCAGCCTCCGACCACCCACCACAACCAATCTCAACAACCTAAACATTCTTACCGACCATGGTACCCCTCCCCTCAACCACAACCGGACCTAAATAATAATTTAAAAAAAAAACATGTTCTAATAGAATTAGCCCCCCAAAATCCCCAAAAGCACAAAACAAGCCCTCATCATATCGCACCTCCAAAACTCCACCACCTGCCACACACTACGCGAGCTGGAGCGCGCCCTCCCAGCCGTGGCCTCCATCGCGAGCATCCAAGTCAAAGAGTACCTGCAGGAGTTGACCGATGGGGGCCAGATCCACGTGGAGCGGATCGGCACGGTGAACTGGTACTGGAGTTTTGCGGGGGTGGAGCAGCGGGTGCGGGAGGAGCGGGTGTCTCGGTTGGGGGAGGAGCGGGATCGGGTCCGGGCTGGGGTGGAGGGGTTGGTGAGTGTTTTACGGGAGAGGGAGACACTTTTGGGTGGGGAGGGTGGTGATGTTGAAGGCGAGAGGGGGAGGTTGGAGGAGGAGAGGAAGGTGATGAGCGGGGAGAGGGATGCGCTGAGGAGGGAGTTGGGGAGTTGTGGTGGTGATGTTGAAGGCGAGAGGGGGAGGTTGGAGGAGGAGAGGAAGGTGATGAGCGGGGAGAGGGATGCGCTGAGGAGGGAGTTGGGGAGTTGTGGTGGTGATGGTGAGGGCGGGATTGGGGATAGTGGAATGGATGGGGAGACACTACGAGGGGAGATCGCACGGTTGAAGGAGGAAGCTCGTCTGTGGACGGAGAATGTGTGGGTTGTGGAAGGGTATCTGGAGCGGTTGGCTGGAGGAGATCGTGAGGTGGTTGAGACGGTGCGGAGGGAATGTTATGGGGAGATGTATGGCGAGGGGGAGGGGTTGGATGTATCGTAGTATTTTCTTCATATTTTCTTTTGATTCTGTATGATATACTTATATTATTAAAATTATCATATCTTGGTGGTGAAGTTGAGATGGAGATGGATGTAGATAGCCATCACGTGCCCACGAACCGGTCACGCCGAGCCACAAAGAAAGCTTGACTTTCTCCTTCTCCGCTTATCTTCTTCTTCTTCTTCTCTTCCCCTGTATCTCACGTTCTCACTTGCTCACTTCCTCACCTCACTTCTCTTCTCTTTTCCTTCTTCTCCTCCCCTTTCAACCTCCCATTCCACTCTCTTACTCCTCCACACCCCTCTTGTGGATCCCCTTTCTTCCATTCATTACTGCTCGCTTCCATTCCCCCCCTCCGAATCTCTCCTTTCTCCCCCCCATTCCCTCCTTTACGGAGAACTCCGGACTAAATATCACCCCCACCACAACACCCTCGATCGTCCTCACCTTTCGATCTCCCCCAACGTCATTCGTCGATGGTCGATCCTCCTCGTCTCATCCAAATGATGCCGCTCGATCGTCCTTGTTTGTGACTCCCTCGTATCTCTTTTCTTCGTCCCCCCTCCCTCTTCCACGCCCTCCGATTCCGACCTCCCGTCGACACATCCCACATCTCGCCGATCGCCTGCATCGTGGCCCCTTACCCACCTCATACGCGCCCGATCCGACCCGGTCACAATTCGATTGATCCATCAGCCGTCTGACTCGCGACCTGATCTCCGACAGTCCCGTGGTGTGGGAGACCACGGTCAACTCCTACTCCCTCGATCGCCCCTCTAGTATCCCTCCTCCATTCTCGCCGTCCGCCTTGTCTTCCTTACCTTCACACGTCAACCTCCTTTGCGTGTGGCCACCTGCGTCCCATCTGGAAACCTCCCCCCATCGGGAAACACGGACCCGCCTCCCTCTCCTCCCTCTCCTCCCCTTCGTTGGGTGACACGTCGCTTTCTCCCCGTGTCTGGTCAAATCGGACCGTGGTCGCCGTTGTGCTCCTCCCTCTTCTTCCTTCCCGCCATCGTTGTGTGGATCGAACGACCCTGGACCCCTGTGTCATGTCCGTCAATTCGTTCCCCGCGCAGTCCTCCTCGCCGCTCGGTCGGAATCGCAGCTCCCTCCTGTCCAAGTTCCGCTCCCAACTCGGTCAACGCAATCGCAGTCTCGCCGATTTCTATATTGAACCCGACGATCCCTGGCGCTCGTACTTCCCGGGCGATGTCGTCACGGGTACCGTCGTCCTCACCGTCGTCCGCCCCGTGCGCATCACCCATCTCGTCATCAGTCTCCATGGCGTCGTCAAGGTCTTCAAGAATACCGTCCCCTCCGGGGAAGCCACCCCGGAGGTGTCGTCCCTGGGTCCTGGCCGCGGGCGGCGCGGGGCCGAGTATCTGGGCAACGGCTTGGCCACCCTCTTCGAGGACGAGGTCATCCTCTGCGGTGAGGGTCGTCTCAAGGAGGGCATCTACAAGTTTCGCTTCGAGATGTCCTTCCCGCCGTACGCCCTGCCCAGTAGCATCAGCGTGCGTGACCCCCCTTCCGTGACCCGGCGCGCCCAGGAAAACCCCCTCCCTCCCTATTAACTAAACGCGTCTAGTTCGAGCGCGGCACCATCGCCTATTTCCTTACATCCACCCTGACCAAACCGACCACCATGAATCCCACCCTCACCTGCCGCCGTCGCATCAACCTTCTCGAAAACATCGACATCGCCCCCTTCCCCGCCCCCAAGGCGCGCATCGTCACCCTCGAGCCCGTTTCCAAGCGCTCCAAGTCCAAGGCGAAACCTCGATCCAGCGCGACCGATCCTCTCACCGACTCTCCAACATCGCTGGACCCCGGCCACGGCGCATCCGCGTCCGACCCGCCCCCGTTGAGCCCTGCCCCCAGCAACGTCAGCTCGTCGAGTCACCGGAGCAACAGCACCCAGAGCTTCCAGATCACCGGCAGCGACCCCAGCTCGTCCACGGGGACCGGCGTGCGCACCAGCGAGGCCCGCAGCCTCACCCCGTCCCTGGGGGACCGGACCATCACCGCCAAGACCGAGGTCCTCCGCGCCGGCGTCCTCCCCGGCGACACCCTCCCCATCCAGGTCACCATCGCCCACTGCAAGCAGGTGCGCAGCGCCCACGGCATCATCGTCACCCTTTACCGCCAGGGTCGCATCGACCTCCACCCGGCCATCCCGGTCGGCCGGTCGGCCGAGGGCAAGAAACCCGTCTACGAGGACTACTACCCGCGCTCCCGCACAGGCCTGGGCGGGCTCACTCTCGGTACCAGCCGCAGCAGCAGCGTCTTCCGGAAGGACCTCGCCCAGGGGTTTGCGCCCCTGGTCGTGGACCCGTCCACCCTGACCGCCGTCGTCAAGACCTCGATCCGCATTCCCGAGGACACCTTCCCGACCATCACGCGCACCCCGGGCAGCATGATCAACTTCCGCTACTACGTCGAGGTCGTCGTCGACCTGCGCGGCAAAGTCATGGCACCCGATCGCTTCCTGCCGCGCTTCAACCTCATGTCGTCCGGCGGCAACTTCTCACCGAGCGGCAAGGTCCTCAACTCGCCCGACGCCGGCGGCGGCACCGCCATCACCGCCAACTGGTCGGGCAACATCCTCGACACGGACCAGATTCGCCGCGAGAAGGGCGTCGTTGCCGTCGCCTTCGAGGTTGTCATCGGCACGCGCGACTCGCACCGCACGGTGTCGGCCCAGCGCACCCCGTCCACCGCCGCCGGATCCGACGCGCGTTCCGACGATCACGGGTCGCCGGAGGAGCCGACGAGCCCGCTGCGTGCGGGGGAGATCGCCGACCCGACCGCGTCGCCCGCCGACTACGGGTTCCCGCACCCAGATGCCTACTGGACCGAGTACCCCGAGGGGCCGCCACCCCCGCCGCGACCGTTCCAGTCGCTGGGCGAGATGGTGGCCACGCCGCCGACGGAGGACCCGGTCGACGAGAAGACGCGACTCCGGCGCGCGGAGCAGACCCTGCTCCCGAGTCAGCCGCCCGCGGCGGGGGCGGCGGAGGCGGAAGATGCGGGCGTAGGGCCCTCGTCCGCGCCGGACGCGGCTACGCCCACGGCGCCGGTGCTCGAGGACGACGACCGCTCCATCCACGGCTACCAGCATCTACCGTCTCCCGCGGTGGACGGCGGCGGCGGCCGATCCGCTCTCCCGTCGGCGGACTCAGACCAGACGGTGGTCACGGGCGGGCCGCGCGTGGACGACAAGCAGGAGATGGAGCGACGGCGCCTGCTGATGGAGGCCAGCGCGCCAGGGGACCACGACTCTCCTGTCGCGGACGGGCCCAGTGCCCCCTTATTCCACGAGGACGATGACACCCCGCTGGTCGGGCGTACGGCCCCCGCGGATGAGACTCTGCCTCGCTATCAACGATAATATTGGCTAGATCCTACTCCCACGGTTTTTTTTTTTTTTTTGCGATGGACGGACGGCAGTGGCTGACCGATGATGAAAGCCAGGAAACACGTTCCCCGGGGATGTGGGGTGTCTACAGTGGAAAGTTTGCATTGTTATTTGTTGCCCTTCGGTTTCCGGAAGATACCATCTTGTTGGCGCTGGTTTACTTTTTTATGGTTATTATTATTTATTTATTGATTCCCTACGGCCCGGTGATGACCATCCCACTAGGGGATGAGGGCGTTTTGGGTGGTGTTTGGGAACGGATCTGGGATGGCTGGCCGATCCGCCAGTTCTTTGTTTGTGTCTGCATGGTTTGACAGCCTGTTGGGGAGTGACTCTCCCCTGGTGTACATAGTGAATGGGTGGGATGTGAATGCATACCGGTCAATGAATGATTGCTGGGTGATCTTCTTTGTAGACTGGTATATATCAATATAGGTTTCCTCCTCTCCTCCCCATCCCATTCTCTTCCTTTTCACGCTATATCGAATGGGTCCATCTTCCCGCGCAATATATCTTCCCATAATGACTATTCAGAGACATACCTAAGTCATGGACCCATACATTGAGCAAAGGGAATGTTCAAACCTGATCGATCCCTTCAGAATGCCGTCTTCGCATGTGATACCCTACAGTGGCCCAAAGGCATCACCACAACTACCACCACCACGCTCAGAGACGCTGTTCTACCTGGTACGCCTCAAGCCTGCGGAGTCCGCAACCGTCTCCTTTTCTATGTATCACACCATGCCAAGGCTCGTTGCAGACCTTGAGTGTCATGGCATCTTTTATAGTCGGTTGGACAACTATCAATCAATGCTGGCAGTGCACTTCCGTAACTCTGTCTGCGAACAGGTACGTTTGGACAAGCCCAACACCCTCTAATAATAGCTAATGAACTATACAGGCAGCAACAAGGATGCTAGGCAATTCCTACGATCTCGCCTGAACTTATAATGGGCAAGACAACTGTCTTGACAAAGCTATGTCCGTGACCGCTCGATTTCACCAAGCGGGTCAAAGCGATAACCCCAAAAAACAAAATGAGCCATAGTCGAGTTGGAAAGTCTCGTTTTTTGATCTCACGCATGGCAATTGGCGATTGGGGAATTCTGCGAGGTATCGTCTCCGATGGTATCAATCAATCGACATATACCTCCTATGTGGGCTATGAAACCTGAATTAAACTCAGAACACACCAATAAAATGGTTATATTTATCTATCGGTCTGTCTGGGTCTAGGAACAATCAGGGGAACCGACCACAGGTTCTTCCCCAAGCAAGTACTGCCAAGGAGGACCCAGGCTATGATGAATTCGGGCATCGGATGGGCAGATAACTCTGAGAGAGATATATATATGCCTCTCCAATCTAGCTTCGCCAGTCACGAACGACACGCAACATTTCTTCATTGAGAGGTGATATGACAGCTCATAATACCTATATATGCACTATGCCATACCATGTCTATACCAGTGGTATACGCCTCGCCGCCAGTCGAGACGCACCCCAGAGATTACTTTCTCGAGTACACCTTCGATAACCTACCATGCCGGGTGCTGTGGAAGGAATACACTTGAAGATCATCATTGTGAGCTGGCGTACATATCGTGGGAATTATGCCATACAACTGTATCGACCTTGAGGACAACATCCAATCTTCAGCCAAAAAGGGAGAAAGGCGCGGGATGTTATACTTACATCATATGAACATTTTCTTCCCGTCATGGGCCTGCAGCAACCAAACAATATTGTCGAAAAAATGAGCTGCCGTTGAGTGACACTCAATGATCAGTCCTATGTTACAATTTGTAGCATGTCATTGTGTTCGTTCGTGTCAATCACATACAATCCACCACCAGATCGAGAACATTCAAATGCCTCTTGTGGCGCTGAAGAGCAATGGTCTCGGTGACATAATGCGTTCTTCAACAGAACACAAAATCGAGAACATTCAATACTTCTTGCGATGCTCAAAGACAGAGGGCTCGGTGGTATAACGCGTTCTCATCACGTGCTACTCCGTCAAATTGGGAGCATTCAAATCCGTCTTTTGGTCCTAAAGAGCAAAGACCTAGGTGGCATAATGTCCTCAGTAACAGAACACAAGATCGAGACACTTAGGTCCGTTTTGCGACGCTGAATGGCAGAAGCACCTTGAGCGGTCGCTCATGTCAAGGCTCTATGCAGCAGGCTATCCTTGTACCATGCTGGATAGAAACCACCGGAACCATAGCTAGATTCCGGAGTACTTCAACTGTGGCGTATATGGTGGGAAACTACTGCCTACCCCGAGTTAGCAATGCGCCTGACAGGGTCTCGGTGATGTGTTGCGGTTTTCAACAGAACACAAGATCGACGGATTGATGGAGATGAATCATTCGAACTAAGAAAACAGTCACATATGCGGTCTCGTGTTCGACACTGTTTGTGCCTCTGACTAGAGTCTCGCTCGTCGAGCAGGACGGATTATTAAGATACTGATGATATTCGGTTCTGCATGGCAGATATTGCTCAGAAGAGGGCAAACCGTGGCGTGCATGTTTGACCTCCGATTTAGATATGGCCTGCTGTCTAACTATCACAAATTAATTTTCCTGCACCAAGAAGAGGATCAGGTGCAGGCTGGGTCCTGGAGTACAGCCCAGTGGTTATGTATGACGAGGCTCAAGCTCGAAGTCTTGAAAACCAATTAGTTCATTACTCGATGAAGATAAGCTTGTGAGGTCAGAGGATTATTCGTGTTATCTGTTGTAGGGAGTGGACGAATGGTTGTCTTCTAGACCAACCGGAACGAACCATATGCCATACATATATTTTGTGGGAAGGAATACCACTCGGCTACAAAAGATATCTACACCCTTTTGAGCTCTTCGGGTACCCTCTTATAGTCATCTTTACATCGCGGCGTATGCCAATGTATACAAAGAAGCGATTAGTGGAAAGTAGAGTTGATGGATCATCCATGGCCTACTATGCATGATTTTGAAAGACCAGAAGGCTGCATTCCAGTCACTACGGTATGTTGCACAGACCAGGCCGCCCACCAGCGGGACTAATGCTTGGAGATTTGACCATGACTTAACTACCAGCGGATTCCTTAGATAGGGCTTGTGGGACCTATGAATAGATGGCCGTAATAGCAGTGTTAGAATTGGCCTGCCGCCTAAACTGAAGACACCCCAGCGTCTAATGAATGGACGAGGGGTGTAGTCCATTTGCGGCAATGAAAGATCCCAAAGGGTGAGTGGAACGAGGCTGAAAGGGCAAGACTAACCGGATGATTGCCCAGTCTATAGACCGCGTACTATCGGCAGGAAAGAAAGACAGGTGTACGACAGTGCCCACCACTGTACCTCTGCAGACTGCAGTTCAATCACGGATTGCTGCAGGAATCTCTTCCAGCGAGGTGCCATCCGTGCGACCTTTCGATCCGCAGGGATAGTTTGTAGGACCGCTCGGGGATTTAGCGAGGGCTAATTACTGTCCACTAGAGCGCGTTCAATGAGAATTGCTATTAATATTTCAGATGTGGGATCTATTTTGGGTTCATCAATCACACCTATATTACTCTGTTAGTGTATATTTTTGGTCAGAACCCCGCAGTTCTTGGTCTGTTCTAAGAATATATATCCACCTAATGATGATCCGAAAGGCGCTTAATTTGGGGTGTTGGGTCAGATTGGTTGGACGAGAGATGCCGATGTGTGACCTCGGAACAATCCGTACAAAGGGGATGGCGGCATGAGGCACGGGAGTCTGTCTGGCAAAGAAGGACATTGATGGTGGAACCTGTCATCTTGGTAGTATCTGTTAGTTTTGATAGTGAATGATGATGAAGTGATAGATCAGATGGATCAAAGAACGGTCTGCATGAAGTCTTGGCGCATTTTCCCCATTTGCATCATTTGGCTCCTTTGTCTGCTTTGGCCGATTTGTCTCCTCTTATCTTGATCTGATCTTGACTTTATCTCAACTTCATCTTCGTCTTCGCCTTCATCTCTCATATCCTCATCTCTCCGTATCTTACATTATCATGATCTTCATCTTCATACTGCCCCATCTTCACACCGTTCCACTACCGTCTCTTAGTCTCAACCGCGACCATGACAAATTCAATAGTTAGATTCTACCAACCGTGTGACAGGATGTGACTCGAGATCGAGACTGCAGGATTAGTGGCGAGCTAACCCATTCCCAATCAAAGATCCTTAATTGACGCCCTGCAAGGCTAATTATGGAAGCCTTGCTTGCCCGAGTGAGCCAATTTACTGCATCCTGCTCCTGCAGCTAAAGCCCACTGTCACATCTGGCACGCAACTTTCGACCATGAATGGTCCATGGTTGGCGGCGGGTTTCCCGTCCCTGCACCAACTCCCCGTCCGGCCCAACCAATCCTGCAGTCAGATGGGAAAGCTTGGCTCCTGGCGCTACTCTAGTCTCAATTGTGGGCTCCCCCATACAGCAGTCTCCATCGCCATCCCCGCTTCGTGCTCACCAACCTCGCTCCTCCGCCTCCCCCCCGGTCCATGCTCGGTGCTCAGTCCTCAACCATTACCCCTTGGGGACTATTGTTGGCTGGGTTCCCTAAATTAACACCCTCGGTTTGTTTGTTATTGGTCAAACATGTCCCGGTCCAAGCCTAATGTCTTCATGTCACAAGGTCACTTCGTTCCTCTCTCCAGTCTCTCACCCGATGGGTATCCCCGGAGATGCTAGCTAGAACATGGGGATAGAATCTTGAAAGGCCACCCAGGGAGAGACGATACGATGGGAGATAAGGCTGTCCTATTGGGACAAATACCTCATAGGAGAGGAAAATACGAACACAGATAAAAATAAGATAAAAAAGAAAGAAAGAAAGGAAACCACAGATTGCAGTCGCACAGATCCCTCCCACGGGCAGACCTCATCCCAAGAACGAGAAGATCTCTCCTCAGCCAATCACCCCCTCCAAGAAGCTGAAGGATGCGGCATGAGCGCCAACGCTGGTGGAATGATCCCAAAATTATCCAAAATTAGCCTCAGTTCCCGGCCCGTGCATGATGTCCTCCCCTGCTAGCGGATCGTCCCTGCGATCAACCCTCTCCACCAATCGAGACTGCGCGCCCACCACCGCAATCGGATATCCCCTCCCCAGTTGGCGTCGAAGGTTCCTGCGGCGTGTGCGATCAAAATAGAAACACCCCCGGTCCATGATCGGTCCATCATGTCTTTATTAAAGCTTGCAGTTCCCGCCGTCTCCTCGGCCGGTCTGGTCTCTCACCTCCCAGCGTGTTGATTCGCCTCGCTTTCATTCTCTTAACCCCCGCGGTGTTGCTTGAATTGGTGTCTGCAAAGCCTGCTGGTTCAGCTTTGCCCTTAATCCTGCCCTTAATCTTGCCCTCAGCTCGCCAGTCGACTGTGTTCCGGTCCTTTCCCTTGTCCGCATTTCCCTTTCGGATTGATTCCGAATTACGGTTCTATCGAATCTATACTTAATCAACACACGATGCCGGCCGCTCCGAAGAAGAAATCTACCTCGACCAACGTGATGTCGACCAAGATGATCGAGTCGCAGTCATCGTCCGGGAGTGAGGAGGCCTCGGGACTCATGGATAAGGCCGCTGTCAAGCTGCACAAACGGTCTCGTTCCGGTAAGCGTCACTCTGTTCTCTCCCAATCCTAGACAAGGGACCTAGTTACTCAACAAACGCCGGGAAATTAGGATGTTTTACGTGCCGTCTGCGTCGGAAGAAGTGTGACGAGAAACACCCGTCCTGTGGAGCCTGCAACAACCTCAACGTGAAATGCGAATATAAGCGCCCCATCTGGTGGGGGAATGCCGAGCAGCGGAAGATCCAGAAGGAGCGCATCAAGAACAAGATCAAGCAGACCAAGATGAATGAACGCAATGGGACCATGACTGGTAGGTTTCTTCTTCACAAGTCTACTCCTTTCTTCTCGCCCTCCTCCCCTCTGACCCAAGACAGTCGATGCGTCGGGCCACAGCCGCAGTATCACGGTCACATCGCCCACCGCAACCGAGTTCGAATTTGGCCGTCCCGTCTTCCCCGAGCAGTACGACATCTTCTCTTCCTCCCATATGCCGACCCCCGTCATGTCCCAAGCTCTCTATCCGCAGTGCACCCCCTACGAGGTTGACGTCAAGACCGAGCGACACACCTTCGTCAACGACGTGCCCCTGCGCCACGACTCATCGACGTCCACCTTCAGCTCCTTCGCGCCCCCACAGTTGAATGCCCCCCTGCCCACTTTCCCAGGCGAGGAGTGGTTCCACGACGAGTACTTCGGCCAGGCACAGCCCGCCCTCCCGGGTATCGACCCGACCCTCTGCGACCCCAGCCTCGACCAGACGTACGCCCTCCTGCAAGCCAACATTCCCGTGTCCGACCACGACCGGCCGCTCCTCGACCACTTCATCCACAACGTGCTGCGCATGATCTTCCCCGTACTAGAGGCGCACCAGCGCGGGCACCTGCGCGCGCAAGCCATCCTGCAGGCGCTGGAGACGAACCGGTGCTACCTGCACTGCTGCCTCAGCGTGGCCGCCATCCACCTCAAGACCACCGAGGGGATCGTCGGCGAGCAGATCGACCACGACATAATGCGCCACCGGTTTGAGGCGGTGTCGCAGTTGTGCCAGGCGCTCAGCGAGGACACCAAGCATGAGGAGATCCTAGACGCCACGCTCGCCATGATCTTCTTCCACTGCTCCGTGGGACCCGCCGACGACAATCTGCCCGATATCCCCTGGTTCGACCACTTCCAAGCGGCCTCCAACTTGGTGCAGCGGCTAGGTCTCTCCGGGGCCGTCGGCACGCCGTACATGCTGCCCCCCTTCAACATGACCCTCACCTCGTGGATCGACATCCTAGGCGCAACCATGCACGGCCGCACCCCCGAGTTCGCGCACACCTACCGCGCCAAGCACCTAAGCGGGTCATCGTCGGGCCTCCGCGAACTAATGGGCTGCGACGACCGGGTGATGTACCTAATCTCAGAGATCAGCTGCCTAGAGGCCCTCGCCGGCGAAGGCCGCATCGACCCGATGGGCGTCTGCTCGCACGTCTCAGCACTAGGCCGCCAACTAGAGTTCACCGAGCCAGCCGACCAAACCCTGGAGAGCCCCTTCTCGCCCACGACAGGCCTCCTACGACCCGAGATCCTAACCAAGAACATGACAGCCGTCTTCCGCATCGCCGCGCGCATCTACCTCTGCAGCCTGGTCCCCGGCTTCGACCGCCACCAGCACAGCAACCTCAACCTGGTCGCCGCGCTGGCCACAACTCTGCAATACATCCCAGGCGGACCCGAGGGCTACGACCGATCCCTGGTATGGCCGCTTCTAATCGCAGGAGCCCACTCCGTGCCGGAGAGCCCGCTGCGTCTGGTCCTCGGCGAGCGCGTGGCCGCGCTAGGTGAACACGCCGACCTGGGCAGCTTCGGCCGCATGTACCGCCTACTGCAGGAAGTGTGGCGCGTCAACGACGAGCCGCCCGTGCCCTCCCTGGAGGAGAACCCGGGCCTATCGTCTGGTTCAGCGCCGTCCAGCCCTGTGCTGAAACTGGAGGAAGGGGTCGAGGGAGATGTCGTGGATGGCGTGGAGCGCGATTCACACTCCCCTGACCAGAGTGTCGAATGGGGTGTATCGTCCGAGATGAACAAACCGATGGCGGTGCACTGGCGCGAGGTGATGCACCGAAACGGATGGAACTACCTTTTGCTGTGATTCTGGCTTGATTTTTCTTCTTATTCTTATTCTTTCTTGTTTACAAGAATTGGTGGTAGTCACCAATTACGAGAATCAGCCACTCCCTGGTTTCTCCCCTACCCTCCCTCGAGAGGGGAACTAGCGGGTCTGGCACGGGAGAGCAGTCGTTTCGAATCAAGACGGGAGAGTCAACTCCAACCCCCACACCACATCCCCAGGGAATCGTCCCGACCCAGGGCTAATCCAACCAATGGCCCGTCCCGACGACCTTTCAACACCCACCCTGGGTCACTGTTCCCTTCTCGTGGGATGTGACTTCCGTCTGAGCGTCTGACATGTCGAAAGGGAAGTGGCTATCTCGAGTCAATCGTTTGGGACTCATGCGGGATGCATTGCGGGAACGATGCATTGACGGCGCTTTTGGATTTTGGTGTTTGTGTTTGTGTGTGATTGAGTGAGTGAGTCTTTGAATGAGTGAGTGAGTGAGTGAGTGAGTGAGCGTGTGTGGAGAGGTGAGGTAGGGGATTGCTTGGTGGTTATGCTTTGGAACGATATACCCTCTTTTGAGTACGAGTAGACATGATATCATGTTATATGTGGGGCATTATGGGAGTTATGTAGGAGCTAGGCTTATATGTGAAGACTTTCTGGTGGAGATGTTCTCATTCCGTTTAGAGTAGACAGTTCGTAGACCTGGTATATTCTCCAAAAAACACATATACGTATCATTACAATATACGCTACGATATTCAAGACTTCTTTTTGTTAAAATATTAGGAAGAGAACAACATGACAGAACAAGAGTGAGATAGATAAGCAATGTAAAATAGATGGTAGCCAACGTAATGCTACAGGTATATAACCGCCATACAGCGACAGTTGGCAACATTTGATAACCATTGAATCAATCCGCATGCCCTTCCTTACACTTTGCGTTGCTTCGCGCGGCGGGTGCAAATTGGCAGGCGTTGAAGCGATCCGAGAGTCACTGGAAATACCGTGTCCACCAAGGGCAGGTATTCGGGGACAACCTATACCTCCTTTTGTTAGCCCGCATCACTAAAACAGATGTTTCACCTACCTGTCAGCACTGGGACTTCAGCTCGACATCTCGAGCAAGTTAGATGTAACGATAGCATAGGTCGTCCAACACTATCCTCTTCAATGCCCGTGCAAGGATCAGCATTGGGTCACCGGGTCCTCCATGGTAATCGACGGATGATACTCGCTACCAGGCGCGTCAGACGCCAACGGCGGTCTGGCCTGGCCTCCGAGGCATTCGCCGAGTTGGTCGATGAGCTGCTCTCTGTCAATCGTAAGTTGGCAGATTGGGTTGTGCGTCGAGACTTACTCTTGCCAGCCCAATCGATGCTGGACCTTGAACCGCACCCATTCGGCGAACTCGTCGATTACCACAGAGAAGGATTTGAAAATGAACCAGACGTTGATCACCACAATGACCATCCACATGTGGCGAGGCTCAATAAACCCGGCTTGACGGAACGGTTGAAACAAACAAGACGATGATCACCGGAATGATCATCGACATGTGGCCGGGCTCTATATACCCCGGCATGGCGATGAAAGGAAGGTGGATTTGGGGTTATGAGCGAAAGAGAGTGGGGGATAATGAAGTTGTTTAAATGAGTGTATTACTTTAATACGTAAAGTAAACGAGTGTGTAGCTGGAAGCTTGCTAGACAAAGAAGAAGAAGAAGAGAAAACAAAAACATTCGCACAGGCCGGGGATCTATTCCTCCTCTGAAGCAAATCAGACATCTAGAGGTGGAAGGCGCGGATGGGGGTGGTATCGCCCTCGGACGCGAATACAGCAAGGGCACTCGGCCGTGCAATGACCATAAACCCCAACGAGCTTTCTGCTTTCCGCAACATGCCGTTTCATGGGCTCCCTGTAGGTAATAAGTGGTTTTTCACAGCAGCCACAGTCCCGTCCGCAGCAACCCCCCGTGCTCGCACATTCCAAACAGTCCAAGACCCAAGCATAGAGACGACCACCCGGATCATACCAGTTCCACACTGTCTTGATTTTCGCCATACTTTGTGACCGTACTATCTCCGAGTCCATGTCCCACAAGATTTTGCGCGTTTTCCAGTAACTTTCCAGTAGCTGCTGGATTTTTTGATCCATCCGAGCTGCTGCATCCTTGCAGGCGGTCTCATAGCTCGGTAGTTTCTTGTCATCGGCCCCTACCCTTTTCGGGGGATGTCTCTGCAAAGCCGATCTAACGATTGCAATGACCGAGAAAGGACGCTGTCTAGTAGAAAGTTTTGCAGTACTGTATAAAGCGTCTCGCTCTTCAATCAAGCGACGTCGTCGCTGTAGGTAAGCGAAGCCACGCTCGCGGAGCATCAGATAGGGCACCGCCCAGTTCTTTCGGTCATTAGATTCGACTTCCGGTGAGGCCGTATAAGACTCCCATTGCTTTTTTACTTTCTGAGCATTCTCATCGAACGTCCCTTCACGTTGAAACAGCGCGTTTTGCGTCATATTGAGATTCTCGATTGCAACGAAGAAAGATACGTAGTTCAAGTTGAAGTGGGCTGATAGAATGAAGATATCATTGATGAAAGTCGATTCCCTTATCCAGGTCACTGGAAAGGAGCGGACTATTTATGATGGTTCCCTTGATCTGGGGGAATGACGATATTTGGTCGTCTATTTGACGTATACTTTCCCCTTTGGCGAGTCACGCTGACGATGAACCTTTAACGCGAAATACTGCGGAATAGTAGACATTCCATGGCACCCATAGAGTCAACCATGGCTTTGCGACAGTGTTATCGGAAAGCATGCCGTTGCCTGACAGTCACACATCTTCGCAACCACATTCGCGTGCAGACAGTCTGCACGCTATGGTAAGCTGTCTTATTGCTTTGGATGTAGATGTCGCGAGGTCAATTAGTCCTCGATCATCCATCTACTGTCTATCTTCAAATCAGCCTCTCAGTCTCTGCCCATAAGTTTCTCGGATGGTATCATAGATATTACTCAGATATGTAGATAGGAGTCTCCAAGAGTCCAGGCCACCGCTAACCGAGGCGCCAATAAGCGGGGTCTTGGCGCCACCTCGCCCGATCATCGATTCCTGAGGAACCAACATGACCTTCTCTCTCTCGATTCCCTTTCGTCTCTCACCTCAACAACCTCACCTCTCTCTCTCTCTCTCTCTGTCTATCTTACCCCCCCAAACCAGGTCACAATGGCCATTCGCAACGGGTCGTTCGCGACTTTCCTCATCGTCTGCCGTACGTCCCTCCCTCCCCCCCCAAACCCCATACAGCTAAACTAACAGCCAGACCCCAGCAACGAGCTTCTTCCTCGGAATCATCTTCTCCCTCTTCCCCTACGACTACCCAATCCTATGGTCCCCGACCCCCACCCCGGCAACGCACTATGACTACTTCGAAGCGCACCTCAGGTTCCTGCACGCCTCGCCGCCCCTCATCCCGCGCATGCTCCACATCGTCATGTTCCTCGGCCTAGCCGGCATCCTCGCGAAGCTATACCGCCCCTCCGAATCAAACATGCTCTTCGACGGCGCCTCCCTCGTCCTCTACATGTGCGGCATCACCGTCTACATCGCAAACACCGTCAAGGGTCTGCGTCTCGTCTCGGGTGGCCGCTACGGCGTGGAACTGATGTCCGGCCATGGTGTGGGTGAGGAGTTGGCCGAGGGGGAGCAGATCCTTGGTCGCGAGGACTCGCTGAAGGTGTTGGCTGCGAGTAACACTATCCTTGCGCTGGTGCTGGTCGGCGTGTTGGTGCTGCAGGCGGGGCAGTGGTATGCGGAGAGGAAGAATGAGCAGGAGTATGAGTCGCTTTCGGGCGCGAAGGGTGAGAAGGGCGAGAAGGGCGAGAAGGAGAAGGAGAAGGCGGGGAAGAAGAATCGGTAGTTTTTCCTCTTTGTTTGTTTGGGTTGCATGACTTTTTCCCAGCTTTGGTGTGGTTGAAGGGGTTTGTTTCTTGTCATTGTATCTACTATGTACAATCACTTCTGCTCTCCTAACCCCATCCCACGTGGTGATATGTGACGATCTATATACAACCCATCCATACATAGTCCATACGTACATCAATCATCATCGTAACATCAACAACCAAAATCAAATCAACAATCAAGCGATCACATTCCAGAGTCCGAATAAATAAACAAATAAATGCAGCAGGGGAATCATAGGGGAAAAAAAAGAGACAGGTACTACAGCACAGTGATGTGGTTTTTTCTTTACAGACCCAACGAACGGAAACAACAAAAGGTGAAGGGGGGAAATTCAAACCAACCTCTCTGGCGCAAACGAGAACGGACTCCGGGGGAGATCAGGCGTGCGCGGACTCAACGCCTTGGCGAAGAGTTCATCGTCGCCGCCGGATGAGCGTCCCACGGTGCGACTTGTGCCCATGGCAGCGAAGCCGTGGGCGGGTTGCTGGGCTTGGATGGATTCCGGGGGAAGGACGGCTTTGATGTGGGGTTGGGTTTGCGGTTGGGTCTGGGGCTGGGGCTGCGTCTGCCGGTGGAAGGAGTTGAAGGAGGAGACGGCTACGTCGGGGGATTCGGGGGAGAGCAGGTGGTGGGCTATATGTAGGATGTAATTAGCATTGGGGGTGTGACAAGAAGAGATAGTGACAAAAGACAGAAAAGGAGACAAACCGTCCGATAGAGGCGACAATTGCCCATCCCCCGTCTGCAACTTCAGTCCCTTGAGTTTCTCGCCCAGTTTCCCTCCCGTCGTGGGCGACACGGGGGTCGTCGGCCCCATGGGATACGCGGGGTTCGCAGTAGACGCAGCATCCTTCGCCTTGGACAGGTGGGAGTGTTGGTTGGAGACGCCGAAATTGGTTTCAATCCAGTCCTTCTCCTGCAGGGCCATGTGGAGGGCGACGCCCTCGACGTTACTCTCGCATTCCTGCTGGATCTCCTGGTCGAGGACGCGCAGGCGCTTCTTGGCCCAGATGGTGTGCAGGACGCCCTTGCGGCCGGCGGAGGAGCCCGTGGCGCCCAGCTCCGGAGGGAAGATGGCGGGGAGGGGGTTAAGCAGGAGCGGAGGGTCGGGGCCGTCTAGTTGGTCTCGGGGCGCGTAGGCGAGGGAGACGACGGGCGGGATGGTAACGTGGGGTGGTAGAAGGAAGTAGAGGCGGCGGGTGTGGTCGTTGGCTTGTTCGTCGGCGGGGAGGACAGCCTGCTTGCCTTCCCAGGTGACGTGCCAGGAGCCGGAGGAGGGGCGGTGGTCTTGGTCCTCCCATTCGATCATCAAGACCTTGGTACCATCGTTGGCCTTGCCGGCCTCGAATTCGAAGCGGGCTAAAGCGCTGATGTTGGTCAGCGGGGGCGGCGGTTGGGGGGTCGGAATTTGGGGGTCTGAGGCCGGGGAGGTCGACATGGTGACTGGGTGATTTCAGTTAACCGCCCGGGAAGGAGGGGGATGCATGGAGGGGGGGGCAGAAGATCGAGGGGATAGAAAGAGGGATGAAAGAAAGAATGACGCTGGCGATGGTGATTTGACAGATTGGAGGGGGCGTCGTGGGTTCTATTTTTAGGGGGGGGTGGTGTCTTGGCGCTCGGCATCTTTACATGGACTTCGGGACTTTCGATCCTCATACATACATAGCATACTGTACGGAGTACGGAGGACCTGGTTCATACCAGGATACATCTCAAGTCATCAGACTGAAGGGAAGACTGCAGACGATCGACATGCAGACCCCATCCGACTAATCCTTCAGCCGACTTCCTGAAGACATCGCCTTATACAACACCCCCAATTGGCCCATCCCGAGTGATGACCCTGCATCTCGTCACCCGGTGGGATAGCCGCCGGGACTTCTGTGACGGGAGGGGGCGATCGAGCGGGGTGTTGAGTATCAGGATGAATGGATACTGGACACTGGATAGGCGGAGTGATTCAGGCGCCGCTGGAGAGGGGACGCACGGCTGGATATAACAGGATTGATCAACGGAACAGTATTAACCTCCTGCCTCCTGAGTACCTTGCCTACCTGGTACCTACTACCTAGGTATCTACCTAGTATCCATGGACCTGGCCCTGCAGAGCCAAAAATAACTGACCCAATCAGGACGTATCCACCGGGGTCCGTGATGAAAATAGAACATCAGACTGCAGCATGCGGGGTGACGGACAGAGTCACAGAAGACACGGCGGCTGTCGTCCATTGACGGGTTCTCCCAATTCCCATGGTCTCAAGCCAGCCATTTCTGGTGTTTCCAGCACGTACCTAACGGATCTGTACTACCTGCTAAGCAGGAGGTGAGCAGTACCAGGGGTAGGTATTTCCTGGTACCTCGAGATAACCGCCCACGACGTTCCCCGACTCCACGAGGGAAATCCCGCCGCCCCACCGATCCCCGAACCAGTCTAGCGCCGGCGCTTAAACTGGCTCCAAGACATCGGAGGCTGCGTCACTGATTGGTGAGGGAAGGACTCAGCTGGTGATGGGAGGAGGGAAGGAAAATCGTATCAAATCAGATCGAACCAAATTCAAAATTCAAAACACGAAAAAAGGGTGAAAGAGGGGAGGAAGGTTTGGTCCGATCCTACTTTACCAATACCGAGCTATACCTGGAGATGTTTACCTGGAGGTAATCTATCTGGTACGATAGTACTTGTAAAGATACAACCCCTTGAAACATCTGCATTCTGCAGACCGGTTGAAACGCCCTGCGCGCTGTCGGATCCAATCATCCGCTGTATCGATGCCTCAGTCTCCGGTATCTCGTAATTTATCTGGTAATAGCCCTACCTGATACTTACACAGGTACCACCCGCTATCAACATGCACCTATCATGCAGACAAGCAGGCCTATCCAGGTTGTCACTCCAGGTGGTCAAGCCGACCAACTGAAGAGATGTATGCGTTGGTCATGAGTATCTCTAAGCAATTCGTCAAGGTCAGGATAGAAAAAAGAAAAGGGTCATTATTCATTGCAGATGATAGTCGTAACGAGAGCTCTTCCTCCACGCATTCCAGATACCAGAGAGAAAAAGATCCCGTATTTTCCAAAGAAATCACGGGAAAAGAAAGTCAAGAACGATACCAACGCCGGACACCATGCCAACTAACCAGCCAGCCGGTGATTTCCCTGCCATACCTAGTCCAATCCATCCATCCATCAAATAAACGTGTTCCCAGTGACAAAACAAACAAAGGAAAGATCCTAAGTCTCGGTGTTCGTGTTCTTCTCCTCATTCGTCTCTTCCTTCTTCTCTTTCGCCTCCTTCTTCTCGTTTGGTTCCTCCTTCTTCTCCCCCGCCTCCTCATCCGCCTGACCCCTCTCCTCCTTTTCTTTCGCCTTTTCCTTCTCTTTCCCTGCCTCCTTCTCCACTTCCTTCTTCCTTTCCGGGACACCCTCCGCCTCTGCCTCCGGATCAGTACGATCATCGTCGTGACACTTCCTTCGCTTCCCCTTGGGCGGCGCATCAAGCTGCGTTCGCTTGTACGTCACCGTATGCGTCACCACATGCCGCACGCTGACCTTGCTGCTGGTCGTCGCGCTGCGCGGCCCCTCATAGTACCGCAGCTTCCAGTCCGCCGGCGAGTAGGGCGACCGCAGCATCGTCGCACTGTGCGGAGAGAAGGAGTAGTCCGCCGCCGACACGGGCGTCGTAGGTGAATACCGCAGCGCGGGCGGAATGCGCAGACTGCGCAGACTGCGGGGATCCCGTCGAACGGGACCAGGTGGGGGAAGTTGCAGGTGATGATGATGATTGGGGACCGGTGGCGCGGTGAAGGGGGTCGGTGGGGGTAAAGAAGCGTTGCTGCTCATGTTGCGGCCGCCTCGTTCACCTTCTGCGTCTTCTGCTTCTTTGGCGGACTTAGGGGGTGGATCGGCTGTTGAAGAAGCCGACGAGCAGCTGGAGAATGAAACGCCTGGGAGGGCACTGGCGGGCTGGGAGGTCGGCGAGTAGGCCGGGGGCCGATCAAAGCTCATACGGGAGAAGTTGACGTTGGCACTGGATGGACTGGAGAAGATCGGCGTGAAGGCCTTCAGGAACTCGGTGTAGGCTGCTGGCGGCGTGATTGGGGTCGACATGCCACCGTCTTCATGCTTGACATTGTCCGACAGGCTAGACCCCGTGTCGGCGCGGAGTTCCGACGGGAAGGTCATGGTCTTGGGGGTCCTGAGAGGGGGGAGAGAGGGTTTTGCTGACGGCATGGTGATGGACGTAGTGGTAGTATATAAGATTATATAGATGTCGGTATAGATCGTATAGATTAGACGGAGGCAGTAGGCGTGCTCAACCTCTACTCCAAACCGGTGGAGACAACGAAAGAGACAGGCCCGAGTAGAAGAAATAAAATGAACGAGAGGGATGGGCCAGCTTGGTCTCACGCAAGCAGAGAAGGAAGAAGAAGAAGAAGAAGAAGAGACGAAGAGAGAGAGAGAGAGAGAGAAAGGATGGAGGGAGATCGTTCTTTTATTTATCAGGTGCCCCGTACTGCCCCGTATGAGTGATACGGTACGGTATGATACGGTATGGCGGGACGATACCTGAGGCAGCCGTCAGTCACTTGTCTCCATCCACTCACGAACCACCATCTCCGTCCATCACTGCATCCTCCACCCATCCATCATTTCAGGCTAGAGTCTCTTACCGTGTGCTGCGGATCAGTGCCTTGGTGGGCACTTTTGGATCAAGCAAGGCCGTGGCAGTATGGGTCCAATGCCAATGCGCACCGGGATCAGATCATAATCATGAAGATTTCGATCCAGGCATCTGAACGGATTCTTCAGAGGAATTGACCACTTTTATATCTGGGTTCCAGCCTCTTCCCATCCAACACCAACACTACCCAATATCATTCTTTTGTCGCGCGCCATCAGAGGTGCCCGGCGTAATCCCCCCTGGGCCGTCTCCTCAACGCGCACGGCCTCCTA